TAATAAACAACAATTTGAGGTTAAAATTTTGAGACTTCTTATCAAACTGAGATCATATAAAGTTATTAGATGTTTAAAAAGTTGTCAGAAGTTGTAAGACCTAGTAGGGAAAACGACAAGTTGCTATATGATCAGGTGGAGTTTAACGGCACCCATCGACCGCGAGCACGCAAGATCTGCACTGTCTGCCTGTGGAGTTATTTACAGAAAAGGAAACAAAAATGCTGGAGAAATATTTCTGCTTAACTCCTGCATCTGATGACAGACAGGTATTGTATTGGCTTTGTTGAGTGTACAATAAAATTGTCACTATTGGAATTTACATCATGATAGCACATAATTTGTGAACATATGGTACAGAAAAAAAAAGCTGATCGTTTTAACATGTTTTCCAACTATGCATGAAATAGTTACAACAGCAACCGTTTCTTTAATTCCAGGATTGGGCAATTAATTTTTCCAACAGGTTACAAGAGAAACTGCAACTATTGTGTAAGGGCCACAGCAATAAGGTTACAAAGAAATAAAAATTGATATAGATCAGAGTCAGAGTTACTTCTCAGCGTACCTACTAAATCTTATGTGCTTACTATAAGACCTTTTAAGTTCCAATCTCGAGTGCAAACATTCTTTCTTTTTGCATAAGCATTTATTCGCATAAACTATGACCTTTTCTTATTTTCATTTATTTGGGTGAAAATAACCAATTAGTGATGACAAAAAAATATGTAAGAATAAGAATAAAATTCTAACATGAGCACAGTCTAAACAGAGCTTTTAATGAATCAACACTAAATGAATAAACAGAGTAAAAGCTGATGTTTATGTCAGCAGTTTCTTTGGGCAGAATACCAGTAGTAATCACATGCGAGAAAAGAGGATTTATCTGAAATCTTTAACACACCCCACCACACAGAAATGCCATAAAACCAGGCAAACATGACTGTATTATGTCAGCCTTTGAGTTAAATCTTAATTCAGTGGACTTTGTGTCTCGAGGTACTTTTAATATTAACACAAGTCACGTGTCCGTCTTGATTTGATAGATAACATGAAAGAACTCAGTGAAATAAGTCATGCAAACCTTTGTGATGGATGTAAACACTTTTTCCAGCACTGCATTGGGCTGAGCTCTTCTTCCAGCACCCTGATGAATGTGGAGACTTCGGGCACAGGGACTGGCAATAAATCTGTGACAGCGATGAGAGATGGAAAGTCACTTTCTGTTGCTAAGGCATGCACACCAGCTATTTCAGATGAGACATACATGGCCGATTCTGGCAGGATTTTTAAGTATCTTTCGATCCTTTGTCAAACAGTATCTTTCTTCGTGGTTTAATACAGAGAAACACAGTATGTAATCTGTGAAATTTGTACATTTTCTTTTTCCAGTAAGAGTTTCAGTCTAGAGTGTCTTTGTTGTAGACAGCAAGTTTGGCAAACATACAATGCACAGCAGTCAGGCATCAATTTATTCTTTAGAGACAAGGCTGTACCTTGTTTTTCCCACGTACAGCTTCAGGGTAGGTTTGAATATATTCAAAAATAATTTACAAACAAATTCTCTATTTAGGCCAGCAGTCCATCTCTGCTGCGTGCCACGCAGACTCTGGGATGGGCATTCTGAGCCTGTGTGATCCCTGCCTGCAGATCTGTTCTGCATTATGACTCAACTGTCACTTTTAGCGAGGAAAGAAACCACAAATGTCTGTCTAAATGCTAAAGACATGCTGTGGCTCAACAGGCAAGGCAAACAGTTCACAGTGTCATATGCTGAGAGCAGGTTTAAATGTATTACTGCCTGCAATCAAAAACAATTTCACAGGCCACTTGTTTTTTTTATGCTGGCTGATTACTGTTCTGTGCAGGCTGTAATATGCAGATTATCCATTAGAGCGTGACAGATACATGCTGTAAGGTGATACCTACCTATGGTAGTATATTGGTATCAACCTACAGGTTTTATCATTTGTGCTCATCCTGCAAGTGTAACCAGGCCCCCAGTGGCCTGTTCTGCTGTGGGAATTTTGTGGGTGCAGATGGGCTAAAGACAGGTCCGGTGATAGCAAACGGTGAGTGACAGAGAGTGATATGAGTGCGGTGAGCACCTCAGCAATCCGGAAACAAAGGCACCTGTAGGCAATTGATAACCATTCCACAGGTTATGCTACAAAACCCTGAGTTTTACTTCTGTTAGAGAGACCTTGATGTCTGAACGCTCTCTTTTTTAATCATCTTGGCTCAAGTTGTAAACAGTAATTGAGTTTGGACGTTCATAAGCTGAACGTTTTAACTGTTGCCATCTTGGTGGAGGGGTGGCCAGTGACTGAAACCACAAACTCATCACAAAAGTGTTTCCAGAGGTGAGAAGTCCTTTTCCCCACAGCCTTCTATAGGAATGGAAGACTTTTTGCAGTGGCCTGCATCACCCCTGTGGTCCTCATTTTATTTTTCAGATCCTGAAGCTACGTCCCTTTTTTTATACCGTCTATGTGGTAGACCAGTCATTCATCTCTCAACCACGCTGCGCATGATTCGGTGCTTTCCCCACAGGAAACAACCTGCATTACTTTCTTATCCTGCTCCTCCTCTCTGTAGTGAGAGCTGCGCTTACTGCACTTCCATTGTTCTGACTTGTCACACAGTATGTGGTATGGCAGGTGGACAGTGCTACACTCACCTAGTGCAACTTTAAATCAACAGCTGCACAGTCTAGTAGCTGCAAAGGTCAAATTCTGATACTTGTCCAGCAGAACCAATGGCCTTAAACTATGTGTTTAAACTGTATTACTGACGAGCTTAAATCTAGACTGCTACAAATAACACCAGAACAATCCTGTGATTTGCAAACATGGATTTTCTTCTGTAATACAGAAAAAAGGAAGCAAAAAACATTCCACTGAAGACAATGTAGCAGCGAGTGTGGTGCCACAGTCATTTTCTAAGCTGCTTCTTCTGGCCTACACGTAGTGATGTTACAAGTTTATGTAAGGAAGCTTAAGATTCAAATCTCTATGTACATAAGCATATTCATGTATTTATTGTACGAGCTGTGAGTCACTTTAGCCTGTTGTTAAGGAAACAATTAACGACTACAGCCGGTGCCCTAGTGTAGCTGCACAAAAACACAAGATGTACAGTTCATGCCAGTGGTATTCTGTAAATCATCAGTGTGTCACAAAGTCTGAAATATCATGTCCCACAAACACAACTTTAAGATACTGCGGTTTGAGGTAAACTGCTGAACTTTCCTTCAAGTAAACTTAGAGTATTGAAGGAGGTTTGGAAAAATGTAGTCAGTAAGAGATAAAAGAAAGTTTAAATATTTGTTTTGGTATAACTTTAATACTCTAGATTTATTTCACAAGACTCTGGTATTTTTTTTCCAGGAAGAATTTGTATTACTAAACCTATAAACTGTGCACATGGAGCAAATGAGAAACATGAATAAAAGCTTAAACACGAGTCACATGCACTGATTTTCCAGAGCATCACATTTTCAGGGGAGATGGTCACTGGGGAAGCAATCGCACATGATGCAGTATTAGCGCCAGAAGGTCTGGACACGACTGTGTCCTCCCACTGTTACTTTGGCAATGATTGTGTTAGCCTATCAGTGATATTGACATTCTTGTCTTTTAAAATAAAATTAAATAAATAAATAAAAAATAAAAATGAAACTATGAGTGAATGGGGCTCCAAATAACAGATAACAGAAACAGGTAAAGTTGACAAATTTAAGCCAAATTCCTTCTTTTAGAAAATATTTTAAAAATGGGACCTATTACTTTTTCTCATTGTCTGTCAAATATTTCAAATAGATGGACATATTAAACATGGCCAAAATTTCAAATAAAGAGGTCAGCATATGTGCAAAGCCAAAAGCTCTAAAAGCTGTCACTTAGAAAGTTTTCTTCTACTGCTGGGTCTTTATGATGTCAGTGAGAGACAGTGAGAGAGAGCATCTTAGAGAGTGGAACTGTTGCGTTTATGGGTGGCTGCCAATCAGAAAACAGCTGGCTTAAAGATGTGGTTTAGGTGGGTCTGAATGACTGTTTTTTTTCCTAAAGAAAATGTGAGTTTGCCTGCTTTTATTTAACAAAATGTAACGTTTTTAAATGAATAAACTTGTGAGGTCACCAGAAAAAGTTTTAGAGTAACTGCTTTAAAGGGAGGCAAGAAAGTTAACATGTTTTGTTTCAGACAGGATAACCTGAGGAACTGCTCTAAGATCAAGAGTAAGATATATAGGGATCATTTTGAACTTTTAATCATGCAAAGCTACCTCAAGAGAGTCCAAGAACAAAAATGTAGAGCAGGATAGTGGCATGCTAGGTAAATATAATCAGACACTTGCAATATCATTTGTTATTTATGTAACTAAAAAGAACTGAGTTTATGCTGCTGTTTATCACTGTTGATCGTTATGTTGCAGAGGTGTACAGACTTTCATGCATGCATGCATGCATCAATATGGGGTTAGGGTTACCCTAACCCCTTACCCATTTTGACCAATTAAGATCCAGGATTTATAATGCTTTATAATTCGATATGCACTCACCTCTTCTCTTTACTCTATCCAGTATGCAAGAAGGTTTAGGTTTGATAATATAGATCCATTAAGATTAAGACAAATCTCTGGTATACAAATAGGTTTTGTAAGTCCAAGTTTAGCAATACCAAACCAGACTGAATTGCAGTAAAATCCTCTACATGTTTAAACTTCTATTGTGCCGGCGGTGTACAGAGTGGTGGGAAACTGCAATTCATCACAAAATAGCCTGAGTTCCTTTGTGTTGCTTTATGAGTAACGCAGAAGAGAGAAGAAAAAGTTCTCACAAATCTAAAAATCAATGTCTTTTGTCTAACATGAAACCACTCAAGCTTCTAGTCCTCCCTGTTTTTTTTTTTGTCTCCTTCCCTGTAAGAAAGACAATTACCTCTCAGTACTTTGTTTCCTTGTGCTAAGAGCAATGACAAGTATGCCGTTCAAGGTAGCTTGGTTATATAACTTATACCACATCATACAAAGTAGACAGTGTATTTAACCCATCTTCATAAAGTTCAAAGAAAATAAAGACATCTTTTAGAGCCACATGTGGCTCTATAATAATAAAAAAAAAATTAGGTGGTTTTAAATGTCATTTGAGTTTCGCTTCACAAACTGAACATAATACTGAGAGTAAACTGGAGTGGCATGATGACTGTAACATACTGGTGCAAATGAAAAAAACTCAATCCGAAGTACACCTACTTCTGCAGAGAAGTTTGACCGGATAGATGAGTTCCATGTGGCACGATGTTGTTAAACATTACTCAAGGCAGTCCACGTTTTACAGTGCACCTTAAGCATAAAACACTTTAGAAGCAAAGGCAACATGCAGGGATCAGTGTTTGGCATTTTGATCAAATATAAGCTCAGAGGTTGCACGGTGCTGAATGCAACAAAGTGTGCAGCTCTTAACCTACGCCAGAGTTAAGTGCCTACATTAGCTCTCTTGCAATCTCTATTAAATGGCTGCACACTCAAAACGCGAGTTGATGTGTCACAGACACAAGCAACAACCACAAGGTTGTACTGGGCGCAACTGGTCCTTAAATTTATGATAAAGGAAAGCATGAATTAACAAATGTTCATTCAAGTCTGAGCCTGCAGAGATGGTCTTCAGACAACGGCAGTAGGAGGAGGGGAAAGCAGCAACATGTGTAAGCTAACCTATTTATGTTAAATGTCAAAACATGCCTGTTTCTTCTCAGACACTGACGACCTAACCAACACAAGGCCTGTTACCAGGAGACAGGCTTGGTGTGGTCTCTGTACTGAACAGCTGTGAAGGGAAGAGCACTGATCTACGTACCACCTTGACGCTGGTAAACCTTCCAGTGCCAGAGCGGAGGCTGAAGCACAGGCTAATTATAGCAGAGTATTCGACGCAATTGTGGCCTTCATTTGACTTGATTTTACAGCATGTGTTTTGAAACACAAATGACTTAACATGGAAGCATGACTTTGGGAAGAGACAAGGTTAGATTATGTAGTCAGGACATTGAACTCTCAACAAGGAGACTAACAGAGAATATAGAATAACAGAGTTTATGAGGACACAGACCAAAGGTACCGCAGCAGATTAGAAAACCAGGTTTGGCTAATTATTATCCTATATACATCTCAGTTTGTAGTTTTGACACTGTTAACAACTCATGACATGGCCTACAATGGCTTGCACACGCAAAACTGCCTGTCTGCTCACATCTAAAAAATAAGCTCCAGTGGCAAAACAATGATTACGATCGAACAAGAATGAACTGGTCCAGAACGGAGGTGGGGGGGCTGTTACTAGGTTAGTCAGAGTGAGACACTGCCTGGAGGCAAAAGACAAATCCTGCAAATAACGTCATGAGTGAACCTAGCTTTCTGAGGACAAAGGCATATGCTTTGAAGACAGTAACAGTAGAAGGTGAAATGTAAGATTTTGATACGTTATCTAATCTTTAGAGGATGTTATCAAATAATATTGTCTGATAAAACAGTAGGACTTATACATGCTGGAACAAGAACGAGGTTTATTGCCACAGATACTGAGGGGTTTCTGATGCTAATCTATAAAGTGTTAAAAGAAAAAAACAAAACAGAATTTGCATCTTAAGTTAGATCAGTTTCAAATTCTGAGATCTGAAATTAACTATGGCACCATGCTTTGTTCTAAGATCCACCTACACAGAGCTAAATTTGCTAAAACTTCCACCTATTATTTCCCTCTTTTGCATGGCAACAACAGCTAAGGTGATTGGGTTTAGTAGTATTTTGAGCTATCCAGCGCATGCTGAAATAACAATCATAACGTAAGCCTACTGGCGTGTCGTTTTTTTTGGTTGGATTAGGCTGAGTAACTCCTTGAAATGATAAAAAAGAAAAATTGAGCTCACCCTCCAACAGTGACATAAGTGTACTGAACCTGTGTGTGAATCATGTGTGAGTGCAGTGCTGTGCATGCTACAAGCTTTATTTCCTTTAGCAGAGTAGGAACTAAAGCTGTGATGTGCTTTTTTTCTTCTGATTAATAAATGAATGAGACAGTCACGCAGTAAATGCTCTCTGATAACATCACCTTGCACGAGGCTGTCGGAGGACACCTTCTCATCAGAGAGGGCCTGAGTAGCAGCTTTGGCACCTGAGACAGGTGGCTCAGTGCCATGTGCTTCTTATCGAACACCTCAGCAGCTCCCCTTCACCACCTCCAATATCTGATTGCTCCTTATTTACAGGCACTTGACTACGTCAAAATTTAACTAGCCAAAGTTGAACACTTTGTTTCGAGATGTCCCTCGAAGTGTAAAGTGGAAACCCACCCCTGAGTAGCAATATTACTTACCTAATACTAACAGAAATAGCTCATATTATATTAGTCCGTATGTCCTGGCTGTCCTGTTAAGAAGATTCCCTTCTTTCCTGTGTGTTTCTATATGTCATGTGCACCAGCAGAGGTGTAGTTCTTGACGTCAGCATCTGTTTGTTGTTTGTTGTCACGCTACCTGCATTTTCCCCCAAAGAACCAAGGTTTAAGTTTTTCAAGAGAAAGTTTTACCCTTAAAATAATCTCTCTGCTAGGGGTAGCATTACTGGTTTGAGTTACAGGAACTTGCATAATATTGTGTAGCATTGATACACATTGACTATTCAAAGTTTTTGCCTACACATATCAGGGCGAAGCAGCCCCAGAGCCTGGACTCTGGTGTTCATTTTTGCAAAGGCGATGTTCAGAGGGAATTTCAGACCGTCATGCTTTTGATGTCAGGGGACAGATTTGCTTAATCTTCCCGGGGCTTAGGCCTGCTGTAAAAACACATGGATGAACTCTTAACCTTGTGGAAATTTCTTGAGAAATACAGGTGCTTTAAAATACCTAAAGACAATCATCTGAATAAAACTTACAGAATGATACAATAAAAGGTTTTTAGTTCAATCTTTTAAGATTATTTCAGGATTTTTTTATTTTGCGCATTATCCTTTAATATACAATGCTTGTCTTGTGGTTCTGTGTCACAATAGAACTGGCACTGTTCATTTATTGAGCAAATAAAAGCAGCAGCATGTGCAACAGCTGACCAAAAGAAACTAGGGATGCATGACGTAGAGCAAGGTTCTGGACAAACACATCCAGAAACAATTGCCTGCTTTCAGTGCTTCCTGTGAACACCTGATATTTTGAGGTAGTTCATTATTGGCGCAAAACCAAAAACTGCACATATATTTAAGCCGGGGTGTTTAATTTGACTTTTGCAATTCAATTACAAATTTTACTTCGAATTATAACATAATTGGGATGAAAAGATTACTTTTGTGAAAACTAACAGAACAATCATGTTGAACGATTAATGTCTTTCCAAAGTAATTGTGATTATTGCTTTTATCATAATTGAGCAGACCTACATACACTATGAAAAAAAACCAAAAGACTTTGTGGCAAATTTCTGTTGTCCAAAGAGGTTCAAACTCCAGCATATTTGAACAACTTTTTTGTTCCATAAACCTTTTTTTTAACAAAACATCTTTATACAAGTAATGTTTTACATAAAATAGGTTAATTATAGAGGTTAGCACATGTGCCTCAGACATGAAAGTTGCCCAGTTTCTGACTGGGAGGAGACACCAATCCAGCCTCAGGGGGTCACATGCTAGTACGCCACTGTTCCCAAGCCCAGATAAATGGGAGGGTTGTGTCAGGAAGGGCATCTGGCACAAAAATCTGTGCCAAATCAAACATGCAGATCCATCTGCTGTGGTGACCCCCTGGGAAATAAGGGAGCACTCGAAATTAACCTCTAGGATTAGAGCAGTAAAAGGAAAAACAAGCAGTCATACATGTTCACATACATATGCAACACCGAGGCCAAACAGCTGTTCCATATACTGTGAGCTTTATCCTCTTCTCCCTGCACAGTGAAAGTAGGAGAAGCGCTGCCAGAAACATGTTATCCCACACCGACCAGATAACTGTTGTACAGTTTTCTTTGTTCATTACTTCCTCAGAAATATCTAAGTACTAGATCACACCTGTGATATTTCTCCACAAGCTCACATCCTACATCTTCAACATTGAGAGAAACATAGGACTTTTTTTTTTTTTTTTTATAAATGAAGCAATGAAATAACACAAGTGTTAAATAATCCTAGCTAATGAGTTTCTAAAACATGAATTTAAGGCTTTATCTGAGCTCAGCTTCATGCCATTTCACTGAAGCAATGCAGTACGCACACCTCCACGACTGGTTTGTCAAGCTTGAAAAACTGATAAGCAGACAAAACCTTCCCCAACACATCGACTTCTAAACAAACCCTTCATCAAACCTTCAATCAAACAACAAGTTGACATTTGTGAAACCGCCCTATCAGGTCAGTCCGTAGCACAGTTCAAAACTGACTCTGTGGTTTTCCTGTTACCACTCAGGTCTGTCAGCCATTGTGGCGGCAACTCAGATGGGAAACCAGTGACGGATTCATTTTCTTTACAAGGTCTGGAAAGAGTTTTTCAAATTTAATCTTCAACATCCCCTCTATCGCTCATTTTCCAGACAGACAGGCTAAATCACACAGAAACGGTTGAAATTAGGCAACTGTGAGATCTTTTAAAGGGGTCTTTACATTTATGCCCCACCTGTAACAGCCAACACCTGCCATGGAAATGCCACATGCTATCTTTTAAAAAACAATAAATAAATCACAATTAAAGCAGTAAACCTGCACTTGAGGAAGAAGATCAGATATCTCAAGACAAGAACATCTCAACTATAAAAACAAATAATTAAAACTCATTGTTGTGCAGTGACAGAGTCAAATGCCTTCAAGGCATCTCTGTTTAGTTGTGTGGCAGGGCCTGCAGCTGGCTACTATCCAAAGGTACCAAACACTGTGTGTCCCTTCTTCAATTATGCAGAATGAACAAAAGCACAACCCAACCGTTTTACGGATGGCTCCTAATCATATACTATGTGACAAGAGGATGTGCCGGTTTGATATAAAGTAGCGGACTAGCAGTGCGATAGCTACATATTCTTCTTTACCCCCACAAGACAACTAAAAACGCACACTCTGATTACTAAACAAGCTTCACCTGAGATGTTTTTTTGACGGGAGTGTTCCGGCAAAATCATTAGTAAACTTCCCACCGTGTTATCCTTCTTTGATCATGTTTAACCTTAAATTTGAAGTGAAAAAGGACAAGAAACTACAAAATAAAAGTACAGTTGAGACAGCAGTTTGGAGGCTGAGTCACTGACTATAACGAAATGGCTGTTTGGCGTGCGAAAAGTTGGGAACCCGTGATTTAAAGAGAGTGGTCCTCCCACTGCTAGCTTACACATCTTCCTGCTGATGGGCACAGCATCCGTTAAAATTAACTTTTGGAGATTCCCCCTCTCCCCCTTTTAAAGAAGAAAAAACGCCATGAGCGGTAAATACGAACCTTTCAAAGAGTATCCTTACGACGAAAATTCCCAAAGCTAGCGGTAAGGCGGTAAACAAGTGTCCGACTTTAGGATACTCCACCCCGGGAGCTGGGTTCTCCAGATCCGCCCAGGTTACGTTGTGAGGGAGCCAGAACCTCTCGTTCCAAAACCAGGCTGAAAGACCAGCCATATTTTCCCGCGTCCCTGTGCCCGCGCGCTTTGGAGCAAAGTATTTCTTGGCTCAAAGAAAAGATGTGTGAAACTTGTTGGATGCCTGCTCTGCCCCCCCACCGGGCTACTTCTATATGCCGACTGCCACACTCAACTTTACCGCAAAAGTGATAAAATTACCGCAAAACTAGCTACGCTTCCGGTGGGTTTTTTTTCAAAATAAGATTCATGACTACATAACGGTATAACATTTCACCTAAGAAAGCGTTAAAATATCGTTCACTCATTTAAATTATTTGTCACTCGTCTTTTTTTCTTTTCTTTTTTTAATTAATATTTGACTGAGTTAGAATTGTGGCCATAATCATTTTGTTACTTCCTTGTATAGCTGGGGATTGCTAACTTTATATTTTTAAAGGCAAACTATGAAGCGATCCTCACATCTGAACATTAACTGTTTTCACTTATTAAATAGAAAGACAGGCAGGAATTAAGACTGTCTTTTCATTAGTGATCTTTTTAATTTTGAGAGTTAAGAGTGGAGGTATGCTCTGGAGAGAAGAAAATCAAAGTTAGTAGAAGCAAGACAGAATACATGTGAAGCTTCAAGGAGCACAGGTAGGGAAGTATACTACACTTAATACATTAATGACACCTTCTATGATTTATGGTTAGGAGAAGGGGACACTGACAAAAAGATGGGAGGTAACAGAGCTGAAAATGTTCACATTTTTGTTGGGAAATTAGAAATTAGTATATCAGAGGAACAGCTATGGTTAAAAAGATTTGCAGATAATGCTAGAGAGATTAGGCTGAGATCGTTTGGACATGTGCAGAGGACAGATAGTGAGTTTAAGCTGCCAGATAGGAGGTTCGTGGATTCAGTGAAGGAGGATGTGCAGAGGCTTGGGGTGACAGAAGGGACAGGAATTACGATTTTTTTCTCCTCCTCTCATGAGTGACATTTTAAATTTGCTTGCATAGACCACTCACTTAATTTCAAATGCAGGTTCCTGGATTTTATCTCTAACTTGACTCACATTGCTTGCCGAGCGGAATTGAGGAAGTGAAGCAAGTCCCTCCTCCCTCGCTGAAGGGATGGGCACATGTGTGTGAACGCATGGCATCAGTATCCTTTCACTTTAATTTCTAGAGCCTGACTTTAAGACGCACAGCTGCATATCAGAGTTGTGCTCATACAACTTGTGAGGTTTAACAGCTCCTTCTCAGGAATCCCTGTTTTTGGTTATCTCAACTGGTAGCGCCTCACGGATATCTTAGAAAAAACCACCAGATTAAGCGATGAGTTTGTGATTGATGCGATTGCTCTCCCAAGTGGTCAGTGGGTGTATTGCAACTATAAATTCTCAAGAAACTTAATGCAACATCTTAGCCAGAAATTCATTGTAAAAACCTCGTGTTCGTTTATCAAAATAAAACAAAATTTTAAAATGACACACATTTTTGGGATTTCCACTGCAGTACAATGGTATGGTATTGTCTTGTTCGGCAGAGTATGAGGTGGCTGTAGCCCCGTCTAATTATAGATGACCATTTGCTCCTTTGGAGAGAGTTATTATTAGATATCTCACAGGCCAGTTGACTCAATAACTATGCAAGGGATTTCAGCTAGGGAGTCCAGTTTTAAAGAAGTGCCTAATCATGTAACTTTACAGTCCACTCACATAAATGAGCGACACAGCTGAAAAACATTTAAAAACATATTTCTGTGATCAAAAGGCTTGTATGGATAGGACTGTTGCTTCTGTGTGTTTAATTAGAAAACAGAAGTATGCAGATTTTCATTTCAAGGCCAGAGCAAACAGGCTGCCGCTGACTAACAGGGACTGAAAATTGACGGGATATATTGGCATATGGAGACAGACATATGGCTTTGTTGCACCTCCAGGGATATTTGCGACTTAATTAAGTGGGGGAAATAACAAGGGCATTAATGACTGCACTGAATAAATTACAGAAAATTCAGGAATCTATTTGGAACAATGGAGCTATCACATATGGGGGCTGTGGCTGAAACCAGGATGTGGCCTTAGAGAAAGGTTGAGGCAGACGTGCTAGGAAATGGTAAAGGTGAAGAGTTTAGAGTGGCAGCCAGACTGAGCTCGGGTCAGATTACAGTGGGGCACTTCCTGAGTGTATGCGTGTGTCCTGCAGGCATGCACCACCACGTTCAAAAGAAAACATAAATAGGCACAAAAATAAAACAAGATCAATATTTTATTTCAAAATAGATTTTGTATTGTAAGCAGTTATGTTTTAGGAAGCCCACATGATGAAACAGTAGGACAGGTTATGTTTTTTTCCCCCTTCAGTGCTTCACAAAACAAACGCCTCAGTGAAAAGGCAAGTCAGGGCACTTTTACACAAGGTATTATGTAACATTTCATAACAGTCAGGTCATGGTTTGTGTGTCGTAAAGGAGAACAATTCAAATTCTCAAAACTTTTAAGACTTAAAAGATTTGTGCGGCAATCAGTAAAGACAGACACGGAAACCAAATGCATGCCTCTGTCAGTAACAACAGCAGGTCAACACATGCGGCTCAGGCAGGTGGAAGGCAAGTCTGCTCCACTTTTTCTTTTCTCTGTTTGAGACTAAAACATGAGGAGTCAGCACTACCTGTCCCCCTTTAATGTCCTTGGTGATACTGTAATTGTAGTGTGAAAGTTTGTCCAAACTTCTATCCCGTCACCAGTCCCTCAATTGTGTTCCGGGTGGTTTTGCAAGCACATGATGAACTCTGAGACTGGGTGGCCATTGAAGCAGATCTGATAAACGGCAGTGAAAAGAGGAAACCTGCAAGGGCAAATGGAGATTATTAAGGAAAAAGTTCCACATTCACATTCTTGCCAGAGTTAGATGAAAAGACTGATATCAATCTCGTGTCTAGAGTAAATATGAAGCAGTAACTTTAAACAAACAAGCTCATTAGTGAGCTTCAGAGGTGCTGACATGTGAATTTGCTTATTTTTGGAAAGAGCCATTTTTATTCATTAATCTAAAACCTGGTGCCAGCAACTTCACTGTGTACTTGTTTGTATGGCACCACTTTTTTCTTGAGTATCCAACTCAAACATATAAAGGTAAGTATCACTCATTGTAAAAAGGTAAAATACAATACTGATAATAATAAAACAGACTTACTTCTCCACCATGTTTTTCTGTTTCAAGACCTGGTGGACCTCAGTTGCTGTTGCTGGGCCCTGAAGCTTCTGACCATTCAGCAGCTCGTTCTCCAACTGCTCGATGGTCTACAAGGAGAGACAACGAGCGCCACATTATTATCATTTTAATAACAAGAGAGGAAGACTGACATGAGAGAGACACGAGCTGTTTCGTACTTTGCCCGTTTTGGCAAATGCCTCTCCAATCTTTCGGTTGCGTCCACCATAGCAGGTTGTGATGAGGTCGGCGATGCCACAGCTCTCCAGGAAGGTGGCAGGTGAGACGGGGCAGTTGGTGCAGAAGACCTTGGCGAAGGAGATCATCTCCATCAGGCCGAGACGAATCACTGCTGCCTTGGTGTTGTCTCCAAATCCCAGGCCATCACAGAAGCCTGCTCCTACTGCCACGATGTTCTGCAGTGATGATGAAGTTATATATATGAATGTGAAGAATCTTTACTGTGTAGATACAGATGGAAGTGGACTTTTTGGACAAACACTGTCTTTTCTATACAGTAAATACACAGATTCATTTAGATTTGGCTCTGCTGCTTTGGATGCATATGCACAGTGCATCTATCTATCTATCTATCTATCTAGATAGATAGATAGATAGATAGATAGATAGATAGATAGATAGATA